TCTCAAAAAAAAAAAAAATATATATATATATAAACAGTTCTTTTTAAAAAAATCGATCATTCATATACTTCTCAGAAGCAGTGAGCCATGGAGAGGAGATCTGTATTCCTAGACTTGGTCTTACTTATATAACCAAATTTTTCTAGGGCTTTTACCTTATCTCAAAAACAGAATTGTGATGGGACTTCAGTTATAGTAAATATATAGTAAAAATGCTTTTTTTTTTTTTTTTTTTTTTTTTGCTATAGGGCACGTGCGCTCACCAGACAGACAGAGAGAGAAATAGAGCCAGAAAGCGAGAAATCACCCCCCGAGGGGGGTGGTCATGCCGCAATCCCTTCTCTTCCATTCTCCTTTCGGGATCTTGAGCACGCACGGACACGCACCTGGCGTGAGATTTAAGCCACCGGGTCCGGGACACGAACCACGGTCGACTACGTGGGAATCCAGCGACGTAGCCATTACGCTAACTGCTGGTTCCTGTAAAAATGCTTATTGAAACAAACAGCTGGTGGGCCCCATAGCCTGGAGGTTAAAGTAGCCAGATCTCAAACCGGTTTGAATCCTGGACCTGCAGTTTGAAAAACACAGCAGACAAGTGTGTGTGCACATGTCCCAAATCCTGACAGGATGGAGAAATGCAGAAAGGCTTACACATACTCTCTGGCAATTAAAAACAACAAAAAATAATGATATAAATGCAAAGATACACTGATACTATGATTTTTATAGAAGAATAGTATAGTCTATTGTAATTGAGTAATTGGTTTCTAAGAAAACTTGTATTACTAAAAATCATGGGGACCATCAGATGGCATAATGGTTACATTGCTGTACTCATAGGTAGTTGACCGTGGTTCAGGTCCTGGACCCAGCAGCCCAAAACTCACACGGGGCAGTGTGCATATGTTCCCACCCAAGAGAAGAATGAAGGAGAAGGGATTGCAGCATGGCCATCCTCCCCAGGGGAATGTCTCTCTGGCCAGAGCATGCGCCCTATAGCAAAAATCTCTCAAAAGACAAAAGCAATTATGTTAGGGCCAGCTGATTGGCGTGGTGGTTAAGGCAGCTTGATCCTACATGGCCTATCGCATAGTTCAAGTCCTTACCTGGCAGTTTAGAAGAAACACTTTCGTCATGTGTGTGCATGCCCCAAATCCCAAGAAGAGAATGGAGGAGAAGGGATTACAATGTGGCCATCCCCTATCAAGGGTGCTTTTTTACTTTCTCTCTCTGTTTCCACACAAATGAATATGTTGTCAAGCAAAGTTAAAATTATAAGACAGCTTTTATTTATTTTTTAAAGAATTCTTTTATTTACTTAGTTATTCATTTGTTTTAATTTGACCAGAGGGCAGAGAGAGAGAGAGAGTGACAGGGGTGGGGGAAATGAGAAAGCAAGCCGCCAGGTCTAGGATTTGAACTATGGTCAGCCATGAGGGAGTCTGGCACCCTTAACCACTACACCACCTACCACCCCAAACCAGTTTTTATTTTTAATGAGGAACAGTGTTTAGGTACTTGAAAGTTTTGGGCTCATAGCCATCAAGATAAATATTAAAAGTGGTTTTCTAACTATACATAACTGTAACATTTGCCAGGCAAATCCAGCAGTGATTAAGCCTTCATTGTTGCTTAGTAATACTTTCTTTTTTATTATTTTCCCCCTCTAGGGCATGTGTACTCATCAGAGAGAGATGATAGGAGAGTGAAAGTGAAAAATCAGGGACCAGCAGTTAGCGTAATGGCTATGTCGCTGGACTCCCATGTAGTCGACGTGGTTCGTGTCCCGGAACTGGTGGCTTAAAACTCATGCCAGGCGCAGTGGCTTAAATTCACGCCGGGCGTGTGTGCGTGCATGCCCAAGATCCCGAGAGGAGAATGGAGGAGAAGGGATTGCGGTGTGGCCATCCCCTCTAGGGGGTGATTTCTCGCTTTCTATCTCTGTCTCCCTCTCTCTGTCTAGCAAGCGCACGCCCCCTATAGCAAAAACCTCTCCCCCAAAAAAAAGAAAGTGAGAAATCATCCCCAGGGGAGATGGCCACACCACATTCTCCTCTCAGGATTTTGGGCATTCATGCACACACTTCTGGCATATTTTTCAAGCTACTAGGTCCAGGACTCAATCAGCTACATGGGATCCAGCATCTTAACCACCATGCCACCTAACACAGTTTTTCTTATTCCTCCTACTCACTCTTTGTGCCCATTGTTACAAATCTCAAAAAAGCACAGTATTCATTTCCCTTGCTCCCAGGATGTACAAAAGTCTACATTAATTATAAAGTTACGTAAATTATGTTCTCAAAAGCAGTAATTTCCATTCTATCAAATTCAAATTATGAAAGCTTGTACCATAGGAAAAACCCCTCTGCTTTTTTCTTAGGGTAGTTTATACCACAACTTGTTTGTGGTTAAAAATTGACACCAGGGATCAGCAGTTGGTGTAATGGCTATGTCACTGGACTCCCATGTAGTCGACCACTGTTCGAGTCCTGGGCCCGGTGGCTTAAACTCACACTGGGCATGTGTGGATATGTGCCCAAGAGCCAGCGAGGAGAATGGAGGAGAAGGGATTGCAGCATGGCCATCCCCCCTGCAGGGGTAATTTCTCTCTGGGGAGTGCACATGCCCTATAGGAAAAACCTCTCAAAAAAAATAAATAAATAAATAAACCCCAGATTCTTGTCAATACAATCTTTGTTCTACAACCACAACTACTCTATGAAAAGATAGTCACCCGTGGACTTTTTGTAACATAGTCAGGGAAAATGACTTAGATGTGAGTATTAGCTTTAAGTAAAAGTTCGAAAGAGTTGCAATTTAACGAACACCTGCTATATGTCGGGTATTCTGTTAGGGAGTAAAGTGTCATTAGAATTCCTTCAGATGGCTTTATCTGTGAAACAGGGCAGTTTTGAGGATTTCATGACATAATACTTAGGAAGAATGTAGCATAGAGCCTGGTGGAGCATAAACATTTACATAATGTCAGCCCTCATCATCTAATCTTAACATACAGACACTTCTTATTCCAGTTTTATAGGTGAGAAAATAGTTAACTGAGCCATGTGGCAGACACTGTTTTAAAATACTTTACATGAATTAATCTCAGCAACCATATATAATATACTATTATCATCATAAGTATTTTTCAAACAAGGAAACTATAGCAATGAGAGGTTAAGTAGCTTCCCTAAGGTCACATAGGTATAAGTGTCAGGACTGCTCTTTAAATATAAGCAGTCCTATTATAGATCATAATCATATGATCCATCAGTTGTGAAGTTGGAGGGTTTACGTTAAATTCAAGATTGTTTTACTCCACAGCTTATATTCTCTTTTTTTTAAAAAAAAAAAAAAAAGAATCGATTTTCTTTATTTTTTAAGAATGATTTAATTTTATTTATCATCATTATTATTTAATTTGCTATAGGGCACATGAACTCACCATAGAGAGACAGAGGGAGAGAAAGTGAGAACACAAGCCGCCAGGTCCAGGACTCAAACTGGTTGGCAATGTGGGAGTCTAGTGCCTTAACCACCTTGCCACCTGCGGACCCAGCAGCTTGTATTCTTCACAACGTACATTGTCATTCATCATAATCAAAATGAGGCAAGTTTTAAAAGATCGAGGACACATATCAATGCATAATTGGCATCAAGAGAAAAGTACCATCACGGGTACGATCAACTCTGGGTTTAGTACAATGTACGTTAACCTGCAGACGTTGAAAAATTCAAAAAAAAGTTTTTTTCTCCTGACACTCCTACTGATCCTCAATCTCACCACTCCTACAAATTAATCATTAACAGATTGTGGGAGTATTTTTCATCTTTTATCTAATCATTTTTGAAATGTCTATTATTTTGGTATTAATGAGAGGAAAACCTGTTTTTGTGCTTCCCAGCCATTTATTAAAAATGACAGACCAGTGAGTATTGAACTCTTGTTCCTTGCTGGTACTGTTCTAGGTATGACACAGACACAGAAATTAGGGGAACAGGCTTGGCAATGGCAGGAGGCACCCGGAACATTTGTCACATGGTGGCATTGGATAGAAGCTTTGAAACAACTGCTGAGAATAATGTTGGGATGTTGAATAAGCAAAGCACTGCAATAAAAAGAATTCATTTGTTTCTGTCTAGAATCGATTGTCTTAACTTTACCTTCTATTTATCCTCTAGGACACTGGAGTTACTAACAGGGATCTAATTAGTCGAAGAATAAAAGAATATAACAGTCTGATGAGGTGAGACTCCTACCATAGCTGCAGTTAATTTGAATGTAAAATAGGTAGTTGTTAAGCAACATCCATTTCTTTTCAGCAGCAAACCAGAACAGTTGCCAAAAACACCTCGCCAGAGCCTCAGCATCAGGCAGACTTTGCTTGGAGCTAAATCAGAGCCAAAGATGCAGAGCCCACACTCCCCGAAGGAAGAGTCAGAAAGGAAGCTTCTCGGGAAAGGTACCAGTGCTGGCTTGCGTGGATACAGTCACAAAGAAAGTTACTTAAAATGGGCATGTGGAAGGTATTTTCATGTTTTTCTGCAGCCTATCTGCTGACCCAGGTCCATTGTCAGCCAGCTCAGAGATCCAGTTGGCCTGGTCTAGGCTGATTGGACCTTTCTCTTAAAGTGAGTCTGGGCACTAGTCTTCATCACAAGGACAATATGAAGGAAAGCACTAGGCTTATGTAAGAGACATTAGAAATTTTGGGACCAGCAGGCAGCATAATGATTACGTCGCTGGACTCCCACGTAGTCTACCAGTACTGAGTCCTGTACCCAGCGGCTTAAACTCATGCTAGGCATGTGTGCGTGCATGCTCAAAATCCTGAAAGGAGAAGAGATTGCAGTGTGGCCATCCCCTTGAGGGGTGATTTATTTTCTGTCCCTTTGTCTCTGTCTTTCTGGTGAGCACACATGCCCTATAGCAAAAATTTCTCTTAAAAAAAGAGAGAGAGAGAGACATTACAAATTTGAGTGACAAATTTGAGGATCCAGGCACTATTGATTTAAAATAAAACCTTTGCTTTTGATTTTATTTTCACTCTATTTAAAGAAAATGCTGGCACAGATCGTAAAAGGGTAAAGAAGTATAATGGATACTTAATAAATTATAGAGAAGTTTCGAAGGAATGCTGTTTTAGGAAGAGAATATAATATTTCTGATAAATACAGGATTATTTATACTATAGGGTTCTAACTTATATAAACATTGATAAAGGATTTTTAAAGTTATGATTTCAACACTCTTTGTTTTTATTTTCTTATGTCATTTTATTTTGAATAATGATCAAAAGATGATACCAGTCCCCCAAAAGACAAAGGCACGTGGAGAAAAGGCATTCCAAGTATCATGAGAAAGACATTTGAAAAAAAGCCTACTGCTACAGGAACGTTCGGTGTCAGACTGGATGATTGCCCGCCAGCTCATACTAATCGGGTAGGAGACACTGTTTTTCTGCAGCCTATCTGCTGACCCAGGTCCATTGTCAGCCAGCTCAGAGATCCAGTTGGCCTGGTCTAGGCTGATTGGACCTTTCTCTTAAAGTGAGTCTGGGCACTAGTCTTCATCACAAGGACAATATGAAGGAAAGCACTAGGCTTATGTAAGAGACATTAGAAATTTTGGGACCAGCAGGCAGCATAATGATTACGTCGCTGGACTCCCACGTAGTCTACCAGTACTGAGTCCTGTACCCAGCGGCTTAAACTCATGCTAGGCATGTGTGCGTGCATGCTCAAAATCCTGAAAGGAGAAGAGATTGCAGTGTGGCCATCCCCTTGAGGGGTGATTTATTTTCTGTCCCTTTGTCTCTGTCTTTCTGGTGAGCACACATGCCCTATAGCAAAAATTTCTCTTAAAAAAAGAGAGAGAGAGAGACATTACAAATTTGAGTGACAAATTTGAGGATCCAGGCACTATTGATTTAAAATAAAACCTTTGCTTTTGATTTTATTTTCACTCTATTTAAAGAAAATGCTGGCACAGATCGTAAAAGGGTAAAGAAGTATAATGGATACTTAATAAATTATAGAGAAGTTTCGAAGGAATGCTGTTTTAGGAAGAGAATATAATATTTCTGATAAATACAGGATTATTTATACTATAGGGTTCTAACTTATATAAACATTGATAAAGGATTTTTAAAGTTATGATTTCAACACTCTTTGTTTTTATTTTCTTATGTCATTTTATTTTGAATAATGATCAAAAGATGATACCAGTCCCCCAAAAGACAAAGGCACGTGGAGAAAAGGCATTCCAAGTATCATGAGAAAGACATTTGAAAAAAAGCCTACTGCTACAGGAACGTTCGGTGTCAGACTGGATGATTGCCCGCCAGCTCATACTAATCGGGTAGGAGACACCAGCCCAGCACGATTTCCTAAAGCCCTTACTTCAGCTGAAGTCATTATCGGACCTGAGTATACAGCCTTTCAGATAACAGTCTCTGTCCAGCTATTGAGTATTTTCTTCTTCATAGCAGACCTCACTTTCTCTAAGTATTTCTGACCTGTGTGCATTGAGTAACTTTATCTATAATGCTCTCTCTTTTTTTTTAATGTGTTAACTCAGAAATAGACTAATGTTTTCAACCATTTGGAATGTATCTGAAATGGTCGGTAAGAATCATTTTCAAATCATGTACATTTCTGCTTTTAGCATCTTAAAACAAGGAGAACACCTGATTAAGAAAGTACAGTCAATGTAAATGTGTTTAAGAGCGGATGTTTACAGCACCCACATTAGACTTCATATCAGGGACTGATGTAAATCTGTTCCCCTCCCTTTTTTAAAAAAAAATTTTGTTTCACTGACCTATTTCTACACTCTTTTCACTTTGCTCTTACTTCCTTAAACTGTCATCTCCCTGTGCATCCTGCTTTTTCTGTCTTGGCCTGTTCACTCTCTCCTCACTGTCTCACATCTTTCTTGCTGATCTTAGGTATACCCAGTTCTGCAACATCTGTATTCTTCATTTTCTCTCAATAACATAACAGCAAAGTATATATTTCCTTTTGAATATAAGGAGCCTTTTAGTTGTGCTATACAACTACAAACTAAATATAAACTTTTGTGCTGTGTTAAATAAGATGTTTATTTCTTGTTTTGCAGTATATTCCATTAATAGTTGACATATGTTGCAAATTAGTTGAAGAAAGAGGTCTTGAGTATACAGGTATTTATAGAGTTCCTGGAAATAATGCAGCCATCTCAAGTATGCAAGAAGAACTCAACAAGGGAATGACTGATATTGATATACAAGATGATGTAAGTATGTTCATTTCTGTGGGAGTAACTGATTTTTTCTTTTTCCTTTGGTGGTATAGACTACAAAATTACTGTACTTCTATTTTGTGTACCTAGAAATGGCGAGATCTGAATGTGATTAGCAGTTTACTAAAATCCTTCTTCAGAAAACTCCCTGAGCCTCTCTTCACAAATGGTGAGTTAATTCTCATGAAGTTATAAGATGAAATGGTCCAAATTATAACTGTGAGAACACCATGAAATATTACATTGAATGGAGAAAAAGTGTTTTTCTGTCAAAGGTAACAGGAAATTTTTTTCTTATTTATATATTAAAAACCCAATTATGTACTCTTTCTTTATCCTTTAGAAATTTTTTCATATACATTTCAGTGAAAAATAGTTTCCCGAAAGTTGTTTAGGGTCAATAAAATATATACTATCTTGTTTATATTTGCGGTCAAGTTAACTTCAGGCTTAGTAAGTTATAATTAGTAAAAAAGCTTTTTTTTCCAGACAAGTCAAATATTTAAATGATCTATAAGGCACTGTCTTAGATATTTCTTAGGGTGGGAGAAGAATGGACAGACTGCAAAAATTTAGGGTGGTACCTTCAGGAAACTCACATTTTAGTGAATTTTCTTCTGTTTATTCATGAGCTTTGTGAGATTATTAAAAACCCCATATAAAATGTAAACTTTAAGGATTTTATTTCAGAGATTATTTTGGGATCTTTCCTACTTTTTTTTATTGTGCTTTAAAATTGAACCATAAACTACATATAATTTTATGTCATTTTAAAAAGAAATACATAAATTTGAAAAGAAATTACCCTTAAGAGAAAATTAGATTACAGTTCATCTAAGCAACTGAAGATAAACTTGTTTTATTGTTCGTATTGTTGTCAGATAAATATGCTGATTTTATTGAAGCCAATCGTAAAGAAGATCCTCTAGATCGTCTGAGAACATTAAAAAGACTAGTAAGTATTATTTTATATTTTTTGGAGGTACATCTGAAATTCAGCATTTAAACCCATCATGAAAATAATATGTTTCAGATTCACGATTTGCCTGAACACCATTATGAAACACTTAAGTTTCTTTCGGCTCATCTGAAGACAGTGGCAGAAAATTCAGAAAAAAATAAGGTATGTAAAGTGCATATTAAAGAAATGTACTGTCATTGGTTTTGGATATGCTTTATTGCTTTATGCTAAATTATCTAAACAAAAAATGGATTTCTAATTCACCAAAAGCTCTGAAATACATAAAAACTGGCTAAGTCCCTCTAAAGACTGCTCTTAAAGGCAAAAGATCCCAAAATATCAGTTTTCATATCCATCAAGAAAAATATAAAAGTGAGAAATTTTGCTTTTCTTGTTTTTACAACTAAATGTCAATATTTTGAATAGGTAACATATGCACATACTACAACAGTCAAAATATACCAGTAGTATACAGTGAAAAATAACAGAAAACTTTCATTTTTTGTTGTATTTAGTTTTAAACACAAGTCCTTTTTTAACACCAATGCATTATCTTTATTAAACATAGTGTTTGTTATTCCTTAATATTGTCTAATATTTAGTTCATGTTCAGTTTTTCTCAATAGATTTTAAAATGCCTCGGGGCCAACTCTAGGGCCTTGTGGTTAAGGGAGCTGGATCTCCCATTGCTGACTATGGTTTGAATCCCAGCAATGACATCTTCAAAAGCATGCTGGATACATGTTTATGTGTGTCCAAAACTGGAAGAGAATGGATTGCAGCACGACCACACCCTGTTGAGGGGTGCTTTCCCCTTCTCACTGGCAAGTGTATATGCTCTTTGGAAAATTTTTAAAAAGCCTTTTTATAGTTATTTGTTTAAATAAATATCCAAACAAGGTCCACACATGTTATTTATTTGTCTGCTTTCTATTTTATTTATTGACGATCAAGTGAAGATATTACCATATACATCATTTCCCATAGAAAATTCTACATTTTTAGGTCTGTTAAGTGTTCCTTCCATTTGCCCATACCACACACCCTTTACCATCCACCCTGCTCCATTACAGACTTTGTTACTGACATTTATCCACCCTACTATCGTTATCTTTGGCTCTTTCTATTTCTCTGTCATTGAGTGCAAACATTTGGTATATATTGTTTGCCTTTCAAAGTCTGGCTTATTTTGCTTAGACATTAAGTCTTCTGTATTCAACCACTTGGAGTCAAATGACAGTGTCTCATTGTTTCCTGTGAGTGAATAGTATTCCATATATGCCACAATTTTTTAGTCCAGTCTTTAGTTCTTAGACATTTAGGTTGATTCCATGATTAAGCAATTGCAAATAATGCAGAAAACACGGAAGTACAGTTGTCTTCCAAATTGAGTGCTTTTGTATCCTTTGGGTAAATACCAAGGAATGGAATTACTGGGTCATAGGGTAATCCATTTGTAAGTTTAGTGACTGCCCTATTTTGCATTCCCACCAACAGTGTAGGTGAATTCCCTTTCTCCATGATTTCACCAGCACATGTCATTCTCTATTTTTTTGGTCACAGCCATTCTGACTGGGGTTAAGTGGAATCTCATTGTGGTTGCATTTCCCTTATGATTAGAGATACTGAGCATTTTTTATATGCTTTTTGGTCATTCATATGTCTTCCTTGGAAAGTTGTATGTTCAGTTCATTGGCCCATTTTTAATTGGATTTTTTTTTGGGGGGGGCAAACGAGCTGCTTGAGTTCCCTATAGATTTTAGTTATCAGTCTATCTGCTGAAGCATAGTTTGCAAATATTTCCTCACATTCTGTGGGTTTTCACTTCATTCCATTGAATGAAGAACAAATTTTTTAGTTTAATGTAGTCCCACTGGTTTATTTTTGGGTTTATTGCCTGAGCTTAGGAGTCTTATTTAATAAATCTTCACCTAGTCTGATGTCTTCAAGGATTTCTCACCATAGTTGAGGCCTTACATTTAAATCTTTGATCCATTTTGAATTGATTTTTGTTAATGATGAGAGATATGGGTCCAGTTTGATTTTTCTGAAGGTGGATATCCAGGTTTTTAGCACCTTTTACTGAGGAGACTTTTTCTTCACTGGATTGTCAAAGACCATGATGTTGGTTGTATGTTTTGGAGTTTCTGGATTCTCTGTGTTTGTTCCATTGGTCTATATGTCTGTTTTTGTGAATACTGCAAGAATGCAAGATTCTGTTTTGACTATCACAGCTTTTTAACATATTTTTAGGTCAAGTAGTGAGATGCCTCCTACTTTATTCCTTTTGCATAGAATTGCTTTAGAGGCTATTTATGATTCCAGATACATTTTATGATCTTTCTATGACTGTGAAGAATGTCACTGGAAATTGGATCAGGATTGTATTGAATTTGTAGATTTTTTTGGATAGAATTAACATTGTATTTTATTGATTATGTCAATCCAAGACCATGGAAAAGCATTCCATTTCTTCGTATCATATGCAGAATTGTTTTTCAGTTTTTCATAGTTTCCCTTGTAGAGGTCTTTTACCTCTTTGGTTAGGTTTATTCTGAGATATTTTATTTTTTATGACTGTTTTAAGTAGGATTGCTTTCTTCAGTTCTACCCATTTGTTCATTGTTGGTATATAAAAATGCCATAGATTTTGTATATTGACTTTGTATTCTGCTACTTTACCAAATTCATCTATCAGTTCTGGGAGTTTTTGTCATGGATTCTTTTGGGATTTTTGTGTATGTAATCATATCATCTGCAGATACGGACAATTTAGCTTTTCTTGTCCTATTGAAATGATTTTTACTTTACTCTCATACTTGATTGTGTTAGCTAGGACTTCCAGCACTATATTGAGAAAATGGGCAGTCTTGTCTTGTTTTACTTTTTAGTGAGAAAGCTTTCAGCTTTTCCCCCGTCAGTATGATATTACCTATGGGTTTGTCTGATATGGCTTTTATTGTGTTGAGAAATGTCTGTTCTATACTGATTTTGCCAGAGTCTTAATCATAAAGAGATGTTACATTTTATCAAATGCTTTTTCTGTATCAAATGATATAATCAGATGGTTTTTATCTTTCTTTCTGTTAATGTGATCTAGTACACTTATTTCCTTGCATAGGTTGAGGCATTCTTTCATTCATGGGAATAAAACCTACCGGATCATGGTGTATAATCTTTTTAATGTACAGTTGGATTTGATTTGCTGGTATTTTGTTGAAAATTTTTGTGTCATATTCATCAGGGTTATTGATCTGTAATTTTCCTTTTTTGTTATGTCTTTGTCTTGTTTTGAGATCAGGGTGATGGAGGCCTCATACAATGGATTTGGGAGGCTTCCTTCTCTTTGGATTTTTAGAAATAATTTGAGAATTGGGATTAACTCTTCTTTAAATTGTTGTAAAACTCAGAAGTCAAGTCATCAGATCCTGGGCCTTTCCTTATTGAAAGACTATTGCTGATTCAATTTCACTGCTTGTTGCTATCCTATTCAGGCTTTCTATTTCTTCCTGATTCCATCTAAGTGTGTATATGTCAAGAAATTTGTCCATCTCATCCAGGTATTCTAGTTTGTTGGTGTATTGTCATTCATAATATCCTCTCATAATTATTTGTATTTCTGCTTCATTACTGATCTTATTTATCTGTTTTTCTTGATAGGTCTAGCTTATGGTTTGTCGGTTTGTTTTGTTTTGTTTTGTTTTTTGATAGTTCTTTTATTCTCTATTTTATCTGAAAACTATTATTTCTTTTCTTCTGCTATTTTTGAGTTTTTGTTACTTTTTCTGTTCCTTGAAATGCATTGTCAAGTTATTTATTTGCCATCTTCCTATTTTTTTCTTTTGAGCACTGTGCTATGAACTTCCCTAGGATGACTGCTTTCACTGTGTACCAAAGATTTTGGAGAGCTGTTTGTTCATTATTGATTTCAATAAATCTTTTGATTTAAATTTTAATTTCTTCTGTAATTTTTAAGTCTTTCATGAGTAGCTTGTTTAGTTTCCAAATTTTGTGTATTTTTGAGGGCTTCTTTTGTTGACTTAGTTTAATTTCATTGTGGTTAGAAAATATGATGGATATTGTTTCTATACTTTTAAATTTATTAAGGCTTGTTTTGTACCCAACTATGTGATCAGTCTTTGAAAATATTTCATGTGAGGTGGAGAGGAAAATATTTTGTAGTTGTTGGTTGAAATGTTTCATAAATATCTGTCAAGTCCAATTGGTTTGTGATATCCATTAGCTCCTATGTCTGTTTATTTTTTGTCTAGATATTTTTCCCTTTAAATATAGCAGCCTTTGTTTTACATATTTGAATATGCTAGTATTGGGTGCATGAAGATTTATAGTTGGTATATTTTCTGGTGAATTATTTTATTATGTACAGAACCCTTCTTCATCTTGTACCATTTTTATGTGAAGTTTATTTTCTATCAATATCATGACTCCAGCCTTTTTTTAACGTTCCGTTTGCATGAAATGACTTTTCTCATCCCTTTACTTTCAATCTTTGTATGTCCTTATCAATGAGGTGTATTTCTCATAAGTAACATATAAAGGTTGCCCTTATTTTTTAATCCATTCAGCCAATCTGTCTTTTAATTGGGGAATTTACTATATTAACAATCAATACTATTTACATATACTTGGATTTTGCCTGTCATTTTGCTAGTCATTTTATTTTTCTGTGACTTTATCTGTCTTTTTAGTTTTTGCTATAAGGTGCATGCACTGGCCAGAGAATGCGGGAACATGAGAAATCATTCCTCAGGGGAGAGGGAGATGGCAACACTGTAACCCTTATCCACTTTCCCCTTAGGATTGTTGGCATGCATGTACATATGTCTGGTTTGTTTTTCAAACTGGCAGGTCCAGAACTTGAACCATGAAGTTGGGCATATGGGATCTAGCACCTTAAACTACATGCCACCTGCAGCTCATGTGGTCTCATTTCTATTTGTCTCCCTTTTATTTTCCTGGTAGTATTTAGTATTTTAGTATTTAGTATTTCCTAAAGAGCTGGTCTAGTGTTAGTTAATTCTTTCAGTTTTTGTTTATTCAGGAATGATTTTACTTCTTCCCATTTGAAGGATGATCTCGCTGGGTGTAGTATTCTTGGCTGAATTTTTTTTTTTTCTTTCTGGCCTTTAAATATGTCTTCC